GACTTGTAAGACGGCGGCCAGAGCCCAAAATGTGAACAAGCCAAAATGCTAATAATTTTTACTTTGACCTGACCTGTGACGTCATCGGTGACCACGAGGTCAATGAAATTAGGTTTTGCTCGACAGTTTTTCCGGGGCTATCATAAGCCGTTTGAATTTTGACGATCGGCCCAGTAGTTTCGGAGTTAGGAGGGGGGGGGCTATGAATAGCCCCCCCCCCGCAGTAGGGCGTGTTATACACAGACCCAGTGCTGCGCGGGTTAACCCGCGCCCCACTGGGGGGGGGGGCTATTCATAGCCCCCCTCCCGTTTTTCTGCAATAACTTCCAAACCGCTTGACGTATCAACGCAAACTTTGAACTTCGTAACTACTATAGGTCGGCCGGAAATGACGTCAGAGTGGCGTCATGTTCGGCCAATTTCGACGCAAAACATTGAACCACGGCAATCGCTCCCAAAAGCTCAGTTTTTAAGCTAGATCCAATTTATTTGCATGAGAGGACTCAGGATAGACTGCGCTATCAAACTGCTATCTCGGATTCTCAAAATTTTGAAAATTTGGAAAATTTAATATAATAAAATCCAAAATTTATATTTTTACATTTTTTCAAAAACTTTTTAACTTTTCGAAAAAAAAACGGAATATATGTGATAGAACGCATTATTATGACTAACTCTAGCAAGTTTTAGCTAAATATCTTCAAAAATGCCCAAGTTATACGCATTATTGAAAAAAAATCACAATTATTTATTTTTCAAATCAATTTTTCAGCACGTATTTGACATCTTACGCCAATATAAATAGCACCATCGTGTTCCTGAGCTCAAACTGCATCCAATAGTCACCTTTTCTGTTGAAACATTTTAACTTCAAAATTTGTCCTTTTTTGACCTGAAAGTGACCCGACTAAAAATCGGCGGGTTAGATCTCGAGATATCAGGGGGGGATCGTAAACAGCCCCCCTGCCACTAATAGGGGTAGCCAGGAGCCTGCCACTAATAGGGTTAAAACCAGTTAACCCTATTAGTGGCAGGCTCCTGGCTACCCCTATTAGTGGCAGGGGGGGGCTGTTTACGACCCCCCTTGATATCTCGAGATCTAACGGGCCGATTTTCAAAATTCAAACGGCATTCGATTTCGCTCAACGTGATCTACATTTTTATAAAATAAAAATTAAAAAATGTCAATAGGGGGGTAGAGGGGGGTAAAAACGGGCAAATTGCAGATACATTTTAGACTGTTTATCACGGCCAGGTTTCTGAACCAATCTTAACCCTCGCCGGACCTATTGGTTTTCTACATACGCCCCGGCCGAGGGGGGGGGGCGGGTACGACCCCCCCTCGCCGTTTCGCCCCTGGTGGAGCTAGCGCGTCGCGGAAAAAACGAGCGTGTGCGCCGTTACGAGACGCAGAGATTGGTATCCGATTTTAAGGCCCTAGGTCAACCGGTGACCTCTGAGGTCAGGTCAAGTGCCCAAAGGTACGGTTCAGTTTTTGGTGAATAACTTCGCGGAAAATGGCCGCAGAGCCGCGATTTTGGCAGCATCGTGTTCGCCTCACTCAGGCGCGTCGAATGATATACTTTTTGTTCGGGTCAGGTCAATTTGGGGTGTTGACCTCAGGTCAAGGTCAGGTCAGCACCCTAAGGTCACGAAGTTGGTCGAAAGGGGTTATGTCGCATATCATTCGATTTGGCAGGTCTTCCTGAGTCCATTGGTGGCTTTCCCGGCTCGCTAGCTTAATTTGATCAAGAGTTATTGACGAAGAACTAATATGACCTTGATGACGTCATAAATGACGTCACGAAAGGTCAACATTGCAAAAGTGACGCATCTAACCTTGCAAGGAGTGCATCAAATCACGATTCTGTGTGCTTGAGATAGTTGGAGATCGTTCCCGGCGCCAGAATAGCAGTTTGGATTTTTCCCCATTGACTTATAATGGTGAGGTCACGAAAATGACCTGACCTCATATGACCTTTAGGAAAAATCCGAGATATACAATTTGTGAGACTCATAATGGATACTAGATCCTGCAAGTTTCATTTCCCTGTGACATCTCCTCTGGCAGTGAGGGCGTTGCGAAGTTGCGACATCTGAAGACCGTGCAGAGGTTCACTTATGACGTCATAGGTCAGTGACCTGAACTGACCCAAAAATGCGGTTGGTGTCAAAAGATGCGGCTTGGATCAAAGGTCAGGTATGCCAAGTTTCAGCTCTCTACCGCCGGCGTGTTCGGAGCTATCGCGAAAAAACCCTATGGGGGGGCGGCACCCGCCCCCCCCCTCGGCCGGCGAGGGTTAACGCAACTTTTGCCGATCGATAGAGAATGAACCAGGAATTCACATGGATCCTAAAAATATGCATTTTCAAAAATCATAGGCGGATACAGATCATTGAGATTGGGGGCACACAAAAGATATAGTAAATAAGGTTTTTGTTGGTACTGTTTCTAAAAAGGGTGGTAATGGTCTTGTTATGTTACAATTTTCTTATGAGAGAACGACTACAATTGTATTGGTCATTCATAGGCGGTGTAAGGGCACCTATGTTGGGAGGTAAAACATAATTCCCCTTTTTGGACGCCTGGATCCGCCTATTACAGCAAAAACGTGTCAAAAGAGGTTACACAATAACTGTATATGTTATCACATGATTCCTTTCATTCACTGTTCGTAAAACTGGTGCAGCATCGTGATCTTCGCCCAAATGACTCGCTTCACGAATAGGACCCCCCAATTCCCAGTGCTCTGGAGCCGCCCCTGGTAAAGTTATGAACTTGAAATTTTCAGGGAATGTGCTTAATTTAGTTTTAGGAAAAGTCAGAAAATTTCAGCATCGTAGCTTCAGCGGTTTCGGAGATATTCCCGAAAAACCTGAGGGATGGATGAAAACAACTGCCACTAATAGGGTTAAATTGTGCCCGACTTTATAGATTGGATGACCAGGAACACGGTTCTGGCATTTATTTTTCATTAAACATCTTAGGCTTCCCATATTCCAAACACAAACTTTCAAATATGTGACGTCACAGCCCAAAATTACCTCCTTCCCCAGGCCTCATTACTGCCATAAAGCTGATTCTTTTTACTCTGTAGGCACCACAACAAAGTTCAGACCAAGTTTTAAGCGATTTTTCAACGAACAAACCCATTTAAATCAGAATGACTAAACGAGGTGACGTCACACTAACGGTCGCTCCATGTTGAAGATAGGGCCTTGCGCAAGGCCCATTTTCAAATGAAGGGAACGAATTTCCTCAAAACCAAGAGGCCGCGGGGGTTGCAACCTAGATAGATAGTGGTTTCTGAACCTCGCCGCAAACTTGGCTATCTCAACTCAAACCCCATATTAATTGTGTATTGTGTATTGTGTATTGAAATATACCGTCCACAGGTGCACCCCATTTACAGACGGAGTCACAAGCATAAATATACGCCACATTTTCACACACCTACCTATGTCTAACTAACACATGTATAAATAAGGTTACAGACTCGATACGAATGCCTTCACCTGACTTCTAAACGCCGCCCGGGATCCGAACAGGTCAGCAGTGGGCCGTTTCTCACATAGACTGTTCACAGCTCGTGGCAAGCGACAGAACAAACCGTTTCTGATTGTGTCAACCCTTGCTGCAGGCACATACAGCACAGGCTTGGAACGAGTTCGCGATGGTACAGCGAGTGAAAACATCGCAAGAATGTCACCGGAGTCGATCCTGCCGGTGAACACGTTCTGCACGAAGTTCAAGTCATTCAGAACAAGCCGCTGGTCAATTCGCAAGACACCAAAATGACGAAGCAGATCAGTATAGTCAAGAGAAGCACATGGACTGTTTGAATGCCTGCCCAACCACATCAGGAACTTGTGTTGGATACGCTCCAATCTCGCAATATGAGTTTTTGCTGCTCCGCCCCATATCACGCAACCGAATTCCATGATTGCACGAATGTGGGCATTGAAACCTGTCATTATAGGTCCTGGCGGTAGCCTACGGCCGGCGGGAGCTCGATAACTCTGAAGCGACCTCAAGTACATGCCCAAGGCGCGGTTTACCTTTCTTACAAGTAAAGGTGGGATAGTGGAATTAAAGGTGGGATAGTGCCTTTAAAAGGGACAAATCATAACACCATGCAAAATGTCCCAGTTTTATTTATCACGTGCATTAATGTTTTGCACGTGATTTTTCGATTTAAGGACCACCATTGACGTTTACTTTTTAACAGTTAAAAAAAGTCACCCGTGAAGATCACTTATTGCAGCGGCTAGCCGTTTCCCAGAAAACATGCGTATTACCGAGAAGAAAATGCTTAAAAGCAGATCAGAGGCCCTGTTTCGCAACACTGGGCGTCATCAAGCACTCTTTAAAATGTACCCGAAACTGGCACCACAAATGCCACTTTCCTGGTTACTAGGATGACGAGACATGGTTAAGACTAACCCAATTAAAAACCCGTGCAAATTTCCGATTTATATTGGAATACGGCCCAAATGATCTGAGACCCGGCGCCCAGCCTAACTGAGCTTTCGGTGTGGCTAAAATTGACATCTTCGCACATTTTCGTTAATTGGCTCTAGTGCTCGTTTGGAAAACATGTCCTTTTGTGTTTGATTGTATGCTAAATTGAACGGCGGATCTTGTGAGGTGCAAATAAACGGCCTCAGTACACTTATATAGATTTTATTTGATGTTAAAAAGTGTTAAAACACTTTTGGGACACCCTGTACAAGGTACTACCACGTGGAAAAGTCAAAAATATTTTACTTCATCGCTATGGAGCTAGCAGTCGGCACAGTGGACGACTACGTGGAAAGACCTCAGCATTGGTTGCCTTTCGCTTTCTGTTGCGAATTTTGTACTAGGTCAAAACTTAGCAAAAGTCAATAGCTCAATTGTCACTAGCTGTTTTGACGCGGACCCGCCTGCACATAGGAAACGCTCAAGTGTGAAATCTACAATAGCTGTTGTTAACGTTATTTTCTTTTTTATTTACCAGGTACTACCACGTGGAAAAGTCAAAAAGCTTCTACTTCATCGCTATGGAGCTAGCAGTCGGCACAGTGGACGACTACGTGGAAAGAAAGCAGCACACTTCAGAGGTTGATGAAATGGCCATCCTCCGAGACTCGTCCATTGCACTTGAATGGCTACACGGCCAGACTATCAGTAAGTGGCATCATAACCCTCGCACTTGTAGCGGGTCGGATGGACCCATTCCCCTCGTTTTTTTTTTTGCGAATAGCCCGAGCGAAAAGCGGCCGATCACGACGCAACTTTCAGTACCCTTGTGTTAACTGTTAACCCGCGCCCCACTGGGGAGGGGGGGGGGGCTATTCATAGCCCCTCTCGTTTTTTTTTGTTTAACCCTCGCGGGCCCGGGGGGCGTTTTTCGTCCCCCCTGGCGAATATTTGCGATAACTCCCGAACGCTTAGGGATAGGAAAACGAAACTTTCAGTACCTTTTCTCCCATCAATTTGACATCTTCTGAAGTAAAAAATTTGGATCTAGCCCCCTTGATGACGTCACAAGATCCATTTTTCTAGACCCCTGCACGGCAAACTTCGGCGTCACAGACGCAAACTTCAAATAGCTGCTAAAAATAGAGTTTTAGAGATAAAGACAAACTACGAGCACGGCTGTGTAGCGTTTGACCTAGAGAAAAATAGAAAAATAGTTTTGGTGACCTGAGGTCAGAAGTCAGGTCAACGACCCCGAAATCTGGTTTTAGTTTTTCGCAAATAACTTCGACAAAAATGGACCTAGAGCTACGGCAGTGGTACCATCGCATTCGCCTTGTCAAGCCGCGTCGAATGATATATATTTTGTTCGGAAAAGGTCAAGTTTCATGTTGACCCCATGTGACCTCGAATGACCTCTGGTTGACCTTGACACATGAAAGGTCGTTTATGATGGATTTGTACCCGCTGATCACGAATCTGGCATCTATTTTCCTCTAAGCCTTCATTTAGAGCTTACGGATGGCAAAATTGTCTTATTTATTATTACTAACTTAATAAGTGAAATAGCCTCTAGCAGGGATACTCTTCTGTGACATTGACCTTTGAGCAGCCTTGTATCGTAAGATGAACCACAAATAGGGAACTGATAAGCCTCAAAACATTTCAAAACATCTTGGAAGTTAGCACGCAAGATGTGCGAAAAGTGCCAAGTTTGAGGTCAATTTTGAGCGTGACCTTGACCTTGACCTTTGATTTAGAGCACATTTTCAGAATCCTCAGATTCTCTTCTTTCGTTTGACACCCAATTTTGCCGGTTTGATGCAGCCTGCCGTCCTCTAGAAGGCTTACTATGAGATCACTACACATGTGCCGGTTTTGGCCTTTGACCTTGACCTCTGACCTTGAAAATTGACCTGAGGTCAAAAAATTTAGGTGCAATAGAATGGTCTCGTAAGGACCTTTCGTTTGGTATCGCTTTTGTTTCCAAAGCTCTCTTATTTACGGAGTTAGACAGGGGGGGGGGCGAAAAACGCCCCCCCCCCCGGGCTGCGGTGGTTGGGATTACCCCCCGGGCCCGGCCGGGTTAATAAATTCTAAACCGCTGGACGTGACGACGCAAAACTTTCAGTACCTTTGGCTGTATCAATTTGACACCTTGCGTCAAAATATGAATTTCGTAGCTACCCTAGGTCGGCTGGAAATGACGTCAGAGTGACGTCATGTTCTGCCGATTTCGACGCAAAACATTGAACTACAGCAATTGCTCTCAAAAGCTCTTTTTTTAGCTATATCCAATTTATATGCATGAGAGGACTCAGAATACACTGTCCTATCAAACTGCTTTCTCTGATTTTCACAATTTTTTCAAATTTTGAAAATTTAATGTATTACATTTCAAAACTTTATATTTTTATCTTTCTTTCCATATTTTTTTTTTTTACTTCTCGAAGAGAAAAAAGAATATACCTATGTGATAGAACACATACTCATAATATATATTCTAACAAGTTGTAGCCAGATATCATAGCCAACGCAAGATGTCGAGAATTGGCCATTTGGGTCATGACATGACCTGAAAAACAAGGTCATATCTCCGAAACCAAAAGTCACAGAAACCTGAAATTTTTAGTGAAGATTAAGAAAGGATAGAGGAGCAGCTATACGAAAAATCAGCCTTCTAGCTTTTAAAATGTTGAGTGCAGAGCAGAAAGACTACCTGGGGGGGGCAACCATCCCACCATGTGCGGGCGAGGGTTAACCCGCGCCCTGATGGGGGCCATTTTGCCCCCCCTGTGGTTTTTCTTAAATAGTGAGAAAACGGCGGCGCGCAGCGCCGCCAAATTTTGGGTACCTTACCGGGCATCAATTTGACACCTTCATACAAAATTTCAAGTCACAGGTCACCTCAGGTCAGGAGTTATTGAGGTCAAACTGAGGTCATGTTCGAGTAAAAATGAGCAAAAAACATGACATCTTAACCCTCGCCCTGGCAGGGCATTTTTCATAACACGGCCTGGCAGGGGGGGATCGATGCGACCCCCCCTCGCGATTGGCTCCTATGGCACCTAGAAACACTAAATTTGGTAGGTAGGTGTGCCCCCTGGAGTTCTCGCCCCTGTGCAAGTTTGGTTGCTCTAGGTCAATATTTAGGGGGGTTTTGAGGGGGTATAAATGTAAAAATTTCGCTAAAAACAGGTCAAAAGTTTTCCGCTTATAACTTTTGATCTAATTAAGATAGAGCAAAACGAAAAGCACCAGTGAACTCAGCACGTCAAGGCGCGTCGAATGATATACTTTTTGGCTTGCTTTAGTGTACTTAAAGTTTTTCTTAAATTTTAAGTAAACTTAAGTTTATAAAATAAGTTCAAATTAACCAAATTGCATCATATCGCATAGCATTCGATTCGGCTGATCACCAGGAACACAATGATACCATTTTTTTAAGCTCTAGCGTCATTATGTGCCAAGTTATTGGCAAAAACATCATTTGACCTCAGTTGACCTCATTTGACCTGACCCATGGATAAGTACACCAAACAAAGAAGCACCAAGTGACCTGCTGTTAAGTACTGTGGTTTCAATGCACAAAAGTGATGGAACGAAGTGGATATCTCCAGTATTTTCCGAATTTAGTATTTTCCCATAGGCTTAACATTACGACGTAATGACCTCTAACTGACCTCAGGTCAGTGACCTCAAAAAACCCGAACTATATGTTATAAAACTCGGTGAACTTAGCTTATCCTGAAAGTGTGAAGGAAATCAGTCCAAAACTGTGAGTTGGACAGGTGCAAAAAGAAAATTGAAATTTGACCATGACCTTTTACCGGTTTTTCTGACCTGGTGACCTGACCCTATGTCACTCGGACCTGAAATGTTCAGGTCATATGTAAAAAGGTTGCCCCATAGGCTGTGCCAAATTTGGCGGCGCTGCGCGCAGCCGTTTTTACGCTATCTTCGAAATACCTTAGGGGGGGGTCGCATCGACCCCCCTGCTAGGGCGAGGGTTAAAACGCTCACCAATTCTACAGTTAACAAGCAATTTTAAAGTTCTTTATGTGGTTGTGTAGAGAAAAGACGGCGCTTATTATAAAACTGCCATCTCGGATTTTCGATATTTTTGGATTTTGACCCCAAAAATAAAAAAAATGATTTTTTTTAGAAAAAAAAACTCAAAAAATTTCCAAACTTTTTTTTCGAATTTCGAAAAACCGGAATATATGTGATAGTCCCTGCGCTCTTCGATATACATACCAAATTTGAGATCAATACCTCTTTTTTTGGCCAAGTTATAGCGAAAAAAACTTAAAAATTGATGACGCCAAATTTTTGAACTCAATTTTTAGCAATTTTAGACCTCGTAGCGCAAAACAGAGACCACCATTGAACTTCCCGTGACGAGCTGCATCGAATCGATACCCATTTTATGCAAAAATATCAACTTTGAAATTTGACCTAATTTGACCTGACCTTGACCTGACCTTGACCTGACCTTGACCTGACCTTGACCTGACCTTGACCTGACCTTGACCTGACCTTGACCTGACCTTGACCTGACCTTGACCTGACCTTGACCAAAACGTGACCTAAGCTGGCCCAAAAGTCTGCCTGACTCACATAATCGCATTTGTCATATAAAATGGACCATAAAACATGCACCACACGACACTTTCATATTGTGATTCCCCAGTGACCTGACCTCTGTGACCTGACCTGGTATCAGTGACCTCAAATAGCAAAATATGTGTGTGAAGAACATTTCCCCATCGATGATTTTCAATGAAATGCTTTTCACTCGATTTTACAACGCATTTCTTGAAATGCCTGTAAACGGTGAAAATTCGGCCTTTGACCTGACCTGTGACGTCATCGGTTTGACCGAGGTTAATGAAATTGGGTCACAAGTTAGTTCCCCGTTGGGGCTATGCAACGCCGTTTACCGCTTGTCGCTATGTTGCGTGGTTCTCGAGATCTTAGGGGGGGGGGGCCAAAATGGCCCCCCCACAGGACTGCGTTGCTCGGCAGACCCCATCAGGGCGCGGGTTAAAATGTAATGACCCTGACCCAAATAACCTTTGACCTGTGACGTACTTTTCGAGACCATGTTTGGCCGAAGTCGCGATTCGGCGTATGTCGGCTCGCATTAGCCGCGCGTTTGCAGTCTTTTCGTGGTTTTAAACATTCAAACATGCGATATGATGTTGCCCCCATGCATTAGGGTGTTTGTCAAGGTAACCTGAAGGTCAGGTCAAGTCATTGACCTTTGATGACCTCGGTTCACTTTTTTCGAGTTTTACATGTTTCTAGGCCAGTTTTTTTTTAGCTGAATTCGAATTTAGCAACCATATGAACATTTAGGAAGTAGTTTTGGTGCCTTCGTAACATGTTGTTGTGAAATGTGGAGCTCCCTCGCATCATCCTCACGCGATCAATACCGATGTTTTGATGGTTGACCGGGATTTCGAAATATAGGACAGTTGGACCCCAGAACTCAAGTGCATGGATGCAATAACCAGTAGAACGCCTTTTGGGCGAAGAACGAGCGAGCGAGATAGTGAGCCCTGCACGTGCGGAAGGGTGAGAGGGTACTTCCAACGGGCTTGTGCAAAGCACCCTTCTAACCGGTCGCTAGCGGTGTGCCAAATTTGAACGCAATCGGCCCAGCCGTTTCTGAGATCTGGAAGCGGCATCCTGCACGTGCGCAC